GTACTCCTTTAAAACAGCGTCGATACCTCGAGTTCGTCCTAGGTCATGATTGTTGGCCACAGCAGCCCAGTATACTTCGTCTTTGCCATTTCTTGATTCTGCAGAAGTAAGTCTGTATAAATGGAATGTCAGTTTGGACGAGTGTGGATGCAAACTAAAAAATAACCTTGACTGATCGTTGTAGGGTGGAAAGAGTTCCTTTTCTGGATTTGCGTTATTAAAGGCAATTATGTCCTAGAATGGATTTAGATGACAAGCGTACCCGATACTACTGAATAAATCATACAGTCAGTCTTCGAACACCAGTTGGAATGTCCTTCAGCTCTGCCAGGTATTCATTGATCGCAATCTAAATATACGGCGCAATATTAGTCTCCAATGCTGAGTTTATGCAAATAAACATCACCTTGAAGTCAACTTCGGCCATAAATTCTTCATTCGTCGTATTATAAATATCTTCTGCACTCGGCAAATCTGCAGGATCAACCAGTGTCGCACCGAGGGCTTGTATAATATCCAACGCGTCCTCAAACGCGTCCCGAACAGCATCGTCGATATATACAAAGCGTTCGTTTAGAAATGCGTTCCTCGGAACACCGACTCGTTTGCCATGAAGACCATTCTTCTTCAGAGCTTGCGTATAGTCAGGTAGTCGTGAAGGCTGTGAAAGCGTATAGGAGTCCAATGGGTCTGTCCCAGCTATGACATTCAGAACGATGGCTGCATCCGTCACAGAGCGGGTAATTGGCCCGATAGAATCCAGGTTGGGACTAATAGGTACAACTAAGCCATGATATCAATGATACTAACACTGAACAGGAACGAAAATACATACCACCTTTCCTTGAAACCAAGCCTACTGTAGGCTTGATCCCAACGTCATTATTCCAAGCTGCAGGATACACGATACTGGAATCTGTTTCTCCACCGAGAGTGAAAGCAGTCAATCCAATAGCAGTAGCAATAGCAGACCCGGAACTGCTTCCTGCCGGGTTACCTCTAGGGTAATATGGATTTGTGCTTTGACCTCCAATGGCGGACCATCCTAGGGGAAGAGGCTCGGCTTTGAAGTGCGAAAATTCGTCGAGGTTCGTTTTTCCTGGAGATCGAATAGTTGCTCGTAAGAGGAAGAGGAAAAGTAAGAGAATGTTGGTTACGTACCGAGGAATACTGTGCCTGCTTCGCGGAACTTTGATGCGACGGTGGAGTCGTTGACGATGGAACCTAGCAGAGCAAAAGAACCGGCTGTATTATTTAGACCTGTGATTAAGATGCTATCAATATACATTGTTCCAACTGGCACAATGGCATCTACCTTCGACGGCGATGCTATCCTTGATTAATACAGGGATGCCGTGCAGTGGTCCTCTAGACCCCTTCAGCCGACGTTCACGATCTAGTGCTGCTGCATCTGATATTGCTGAAGGATTAATCTCTAGTACAGCTCGAAGAGTAGCGCCTTTCAGATTGACTTCTTCGATACGGGCTAGATATGCCTAGCCTCGATATTAGTAAAGGCCAAAAGATATCTCATAGTGGAGTTGCTCACCTTAACCAAGTCGACGCTAGTGAAATGTTCCTTTTCTAAACCGAATTGCAGTTCATGGATTGAAGCTTCGTATAGATCTGGATAAACGGGGACAACGGCGAAGGGAAAGAAATTTAAGAGGGATGGGAGATAGAGCAAATGCCAGTAGAATTTCAAGCTTATCATCAGTATAGCGAGAGGAATAGTCCAGTAATAGCCTTTTCTCTTGCGTAGAGGGTTATCCTGCTTCAAAGACTTTTCGGTTCGTGTCATGCTCCTAGAACCAGATAGTGCCACAACCAAGAAACATTAAGAGAACGACTTGAGGAAGACCCATGTCACCGGATGTAAACCAGGAATCTGGGAGCATATCGTAGCCAATAGTTATTTAAAGCAGCACCTCTTGGTCTTGGAAGGAGAAGCAAGGCGCCTTGATAGAAGCTTGATAACATCTGATATTGTGGCTAAACAGAGCTGCCACGGTATCTTCGATGCCAAACTGTACATCAAGGATCCAGACCTGAGTCCCACTGATATCAGTCGTCCCGATAGCAATAGTCCAAGTCTAAGACGAAGTGGCCGAGAGTAAAATGAGCTTTATGAAAAGACTTTTGTCCACAAGCTGAATTCATGTTGCGTGCTTTGGCTAAATATCATATGCTGTTCCCTTTGAGTCCGGAGTCGTTCGTATTTGGAATGGACTCTGCATCAGTGCATGATGATCGACTTCGTCTGGATAATATCAGTTCTCTTCATAATGATAAAGAAGACTGAAATAAGGAAGAAATAGTGTTAATAAGTATAGACTGAAAGAGGGGCAGAAAGATTGAACGCGACAAGTACAGAACAAGTAAGCGGTATCGGGTATCCAGCAAATAACGGCTAAATATGGTATATTTAAATGTTCTTCAGATACGTTATTTGAAGCCTTTGAAGGATTATAATATGGATAAGCCTGAGGAAAATAAGTATACGGAGGGATATGAAGGCTCAGACTGAGGAGGAGACGTGACAGAACGCGTGACAGACGTGACATTCGATCCATCACCGAGCCACCACGGCGAGGCTCAATTAATGTTTGAATCTCTACTTTAAGTTTGGTGTGTATATTTATCGGTGTACGGTGTAATTAAATTATGATCGGTACCAACCTACCATCATCCAGATATTCACCGAGTATTTTCTCCACGGCTTCGCCACCGTCAAGATCAACGACTCGCCACGGTGACACGGTCTCCCTTTGATTTCACAATATCCTCGTAGAACGCAATCCTAATAACAATCAACCTTATCTTCTATACCCGACCTAATGCCCAAACAAACACTCCTCACCCTCATCCCCGACGTCCTCGATGAAATCGCCTTCACCATTGCCTGCGAGCCCTGCCTCCCCAGCCTAAACACCCAAACGTTCCCCGAGCTGCTCGGCCCGCCCGCCCACCTGCCCGCCCTCCTCCAAACATGCAAATACCTCAACAACGCTCTCTCAATGCGCACGAATCCGGTCCTGTATGCGCGTATCTTCAAGCATAAATTCGATTTCGCCGCTATTGCGAGGAGGAGGCCGAGGATTGTGAAGGCGTTGGAGGCGGTGAGGGTGAGGGTGGAACGTGAAGGCGGAGGTAGGGTGGAGGACATTGATGTGGCGTTGGAGGAGTGGAGGGCTGTGATTCCGGCGCGTGCATTGTCTTTGGAGTTGAAGAGGCGATTTGAGGGGTTGAAGAGACTTTATAATGGTATTGGGACAAGGAAAGGGGATGGGAAGCATAGGGTTAATGATTTGTGGATGGTGTGTGTGATGTTACTTGAGGTTAGTTCTTTCATATTCTATTCTATTCGCTTTCTTTCATGGTGATGTTGATTGTATATGATTTAAAGAACGAAGGCAAAAACGCGCTGCAGGTTAAGCATTTTGGCTGCTTCGAACAATGGCTGGTGGATTACTTCCTCGACTTCTCTAGCATCGCGTATGACGCGTCCGAGATGATGGAGGGCGTCACAGATCAGCATGGAGACAAGTGGCCAGCTGAATCCTTGTCGCGTCGATTGGCGACATGGTCTTTATGGTTGACAGGTTCGTGTTTTATCACTTATTCCCATTCCTCGCGTGGCAGGCCAAGTACTGAATTATATCTTATCTAGACACAATGAACCCCACACCCCGTTATTCAGACGACCTGCAGAGCAGTTTCTGCCACAGCTTACAGCTCTACTTCCTAGCTTCCCACAAATACCCTATCGGTCCCGAACCATCTTCCTTCTCCCCACCACCCACATCCTTACCCTCAGAATACGCTCCATACGGTCTCCCCATATCCACCTACGCGACTCCTCCGCCTTTATCTGGTGCCGCCATCCCCGCTTTCCTAACCCGTAACTGGTTATCACTGCATCGTCCACCAGACTATGTCGAACAAGGCGATTTATATCCCGATGAGCCGATTAATTGGGGGGTTGGGTTAGGTGCTTTCAGGATACAAGCGACGACGGGGAGTGAGAGGTGGGATGTAGATTGGGAGAGGGCGGTCTTTCCGGGTGTTATTGCGACCGATGAAGAAGTGAATATGACCGGAATATTGGGCTACGAAGGCGGGAGTTTGGATGGGAAGTGGGAAGGGGTGTTCACAGTGAGTCTGTAAGGCGTTTATTGAAGGAATATTGATCCTTAATATACGTCATCTTAGGACATCGGTGCCGAAGTCTACACGAACCTAGTCAACGGCGTCACAACGCGACGCGATGCGCAAGGAATTCAATCCCACCCTTATAAACAGGCATGGAGCCTACATGAATACGTTCTTCCTGAAAATAGTATCCAGAATGACTTCGTACCTTTACCCGTAGGAAGTGCGGACGATGCATTCATTCCAGCCTCGGCTAAGCTCGTGGAGGCTGTAAACAAGTCTCACCTCCTCGTTCAATATGGAAATCGCCAGATCAAGTATGTTCGATGGACGCCTGAGGTGGGGAAACGAATTCGGGATGCTATTATTATTGGTCAGGTTTGTCATTCCTTGATTATTTAATTGACGTAGTTCTTCATTAATTCACCACATCTCCTTTCCAAGGCATCTTCCTCCGCCCTCGGCACAACGAGCCTTCACGGGCGTATCCGCCCTTATGATGGGCTCATTTCCCTTTGCGAGGATATACCGTCCGGCAGTGAATATGTGAAGTATATTTCGGCGGGGTATGTTACAGGTGGGCAAGTCGTTGGGAGGTGGAGAGCTTGTGCGTGGTTGTTAGAGAGTACGTTCTTTATGGGGAACCATGTTGCTTCTGGGTGATATGTCGGGATACTCGTATTGTGCATTGCATATTGTATAGTTAGATGGTTGTCTCTCGTGTAAGTGCATTGTAAACTAGGCATTTAGAGATATGTATGAGAAGCAATGTTTATAGCTCCGTTTTTACCTCTATCATAGATATATCGGAAATCCCCAATAGGAAATAGAAAGAATTTAAAGATTAAGGGCCTGTGGTTTAGTGGTATAACATTCGCTTAGCACTTAGTGTGTGCGAAAGGTCCGGCGTTCTATTCGCCGCTTGTCCAAAAAATTTTTGTTGTTTTTGCTTCGCCAACCCTCGAGCGTCAACTATTCTGACTTTTTACAGTTTCTTGTGAGCTCTTGCATACTTGGATTTGTAAACGTAAAAAACAATAATATTAAAGCTAGATTCAGCATCATTGTCCGTCGAAGATGCCTCCAACAAAGGCCTCATAAACCCCATAGCCCAACGTTTACAAACATACGATACAGTAAATTGTAATCTGAATACATAGTAGACTTATAAATATTCCAATACAAAATCATAATATATCGTATAACAGATATATCACGTCCACTCCGAAGATAAATCAACATGTCCACCTCATTTCCGCTGAATCCACCACGAATGCCTCTCCCAAATGTACTTATTGTCCTGCGTAAGCTGGATCAACCGCTCTCGATCATACGCAAGGTCCCGGTTCGCCACCAGCGCGCCGACGATATACCCTCTGGATCAAGGGAAAGAAACCATTTAGCATGAGTCAAATATTCGAACATTCGGAGACAGAGACAAGGAAAAAAGAGAAGAAAGAACTCACATAACGGTGCTCTTCGTGAGGGGGTTTTCCGGACTCCGTAACTCAGCACGTAGCTCGTCAATAGATAATCCTCGTTGGTGCCAGAGGTCGTATGCCCTTTGGTGCGATGGTCGCACGGCCTTAGAGTTAGTCGCCTTAGACGAACCCGAGCCCGCACCCCCCGCCGCGGAGGCCTGACTCTGTGCGTCAGAGGTGCTGTCTTTCGCGACTCTAGTTCTAGCGGGGACTGCGACATTACTTAGTGGGTCTAGAACGCGCTTTATAGAGTGTCTGTACCTGCTGGAGACGGCTTAACCGATGTTGCTGGTCTCACCTTCGGGGTTCTAGGCTCTGACACCCTGTCTGCAAACTGGGCTATATCGAATACAAGCCCCTTGTCTTCGGCGCGTTGCTTCATGATATTATACACGCGCAGCGCGCAGTGTGCATCATTCGCCGCGTCTAGAAATATGAATGAAGTAATCGTCAACGTCAATCAAGGAAAGCGCGTTAGACATTTATGTTTATTTTTACGCACACGCTAGTTGCTCGTGACTGAGCGGGTTCAATTCCCAATTCGAGGTCCGGACGGGGCCCTTATCGAGGGTGTGGTCGGTGTAGTATTCGACTATTTCTTGGAGGGGGATGCGCTTTCTGTTGCGGGTGGCCATGTGTTCTTTGTCAACGTAGTGCATGAGGTCGCCGAGGTCGACGAGCCCTTTGGGAGAGATGCCGTAGTCGCGGAAGAGCTTCTTTCCGTCGCCTGGCGATGGTCAGTGAGGCATTTAAGAGAGGTTGAGCGTGCTTACCTCCTATATTCAGACCTAGTTTGTAGGTGGTGGGTGACTCTACGAGTTCCTAAAAGAAATGTAAAAAGGATGAAAATGTGTGGAGCGTGTAGCATACTTTGAGTTTCTCGGGGAATGCTAGATAAAATGAGCTAAATTTTCGGAAGGAAACGCAGGGGACCTACTTGGTCGCATAGCACTTAGCTGGATGATAAGGATAGTCTTCTCATCGCAAACTTGAATGACTGCCGTCTTACATTGCCTTGCCCCGTATATGACTTTCCACTCCATGTCGAAGCCAAGTGGACTGTGGCGATAAATGAGCATAGGTCAGGTCAGTGGTATGGGACATTTACCCTGTCAACTTGGGTATCTCCTCATTAGTTTGGCTGCGAGTGGTTATATATATCAAATCCATATCTGGAGAATATCTCCTGAACGAATATAGGGGTTTTGAAGGTGCTGGTGGTTCCATTCGGGAGGCGGGGAGCCTGTATGGGGGGGCTTTGAAAGAGGGTGGTTGAACGGTGGTTGATGGAAGGCGCGAAGGAATGGAACTTGCGTGTATTGTGCATGTCGAGGAAGGATTGTCATTGAAAGGGGTGTGAACGAGCTGCAGATTGGCGAACGCCGCATCGAATTCTTCGACGATGTCCATGCCGGTGCGCCTGGGGAGTGCTTTGCGGGGAGAGGAGTTGGTCGCAAAGGTTCTCTGGGACGCCAGAAGGGGCTCTTTTACGGCGAGTCGTGTGGAGTTCAACATCGTCCTTTATTGTCCTTTGAACTTGGAACTGAAGCGGCGTAACGCGCTCATGACAACATGACAATGTGTGACAGTCACGTGCACAATCACGTGATTAGCGCAGAAACACCTCATCCGTCTGTTACACCCTGCCTCACACCTTGACCTCATGGTCATCCTCAACGGCCTGAAATATGCATGGTGAGCAGACTGTTCGCCCGTCGTTCTCCGCTGATCTTTCGTGGCTTCAACAGCGAGACATGCATAAAGGGCCACAGATCCTCCGCATGCTCTCACACGGAGCGCACCCTCTATGAAATCAAGAAGAAGGGTCGTCCCATCACCCAGTGCGAGCACTGTCGCGCCCTCAGGAAGACCAGGCAGGTCCACGTCAAGTGCACCTGTTCCCAGGGTCCCAATGGCGAGAAGAAGGATAGTGCTAGAGGTGTGTGCCTATGCGGCTCATCGCGTGCATGCACTGAAACTCTCTCGCATATAGCGAAACTCAAGACCCCTGCACCTCCTCATATCCAAGCTCAACTTCAAAAGGTTGCCCACGTTCAAGACGTTGCTACCACTGCTCCATTGCAATCGTCCAAGCCCAAGCCCGCCGCGAACCCCAAGGGTGCGCTGCCTTTTTTCGTGTCTTGGAATTACTCATACATCTGAACTTCACTTTGACGTAGTCCCCACGACGACTTCCACTGCGTCTAAGACGTGCGAGTGTGGTTCTACCGGGAACTGCGACTGTGCTACGCCAATCAAGACAAATTCGACCAACTCCCGCTCCTCGCCCTCTGCTACGTCCTCCGGACCCACCACCCCTCCCCCGACGTCATCCTGCTGCGCCGGGAAACGTAATGCACCTCCTCCACCACGTCCACAGTTGCTTTCGACCCCGAGCACAGACAAGCACACTGCCGCGTTGCTCGAGGAGCTATCACGCTCGGCCCCCGCTGCCCAATCCTCGTCCTCTTACTCCACTGCTCAATCGTATTCGACTGCAACATATCCGTCAACTTCTTCATTTGTTGGATCATATGAGTGGCACAATCCCAAAGTTGGGCCGTCGTGCAGTTGCGGCGTCACATGCGCCTGTCCAGGTATGTACCCCCTCTATTAACTCCCCATCCAACTCAAGTCTCTTTTCTAAGGATGCTCCGAGCACTCGGATCCCGCCCGGATTATGAACAGCGAAAGCTGCCCCTTTTCGTGCACCTCCTGCAACCAGTGCAGTAACGGCTATGCTTCGGGATCCAGTCATATGCCGTTCCCCAACCACGGTGCGGGTGTGGGTGCCTGGGCGATTCCCTATTCCGGCTACGAAATGTGGCATACAAGCACCACCCAAAACGCCTATGGAACATCCAATGTCAATAATGCCTCAACGACAAGCTCGTCATCAAAGTGTGGCTGTGCGAACATGCGGATTCCGACGCAGATCATTTCGGCTTGCTGTGGCGGCGCGTGTAAATGTGCATCCGTCGTCATTTGCCAGTGCGCGACGTCCTGCTGTGGATGCTGCTCGGGCTGCGGGTGCTCGGGGAGCAGTAGCAGCCACGCCGGAGACGGCGAAAAGGAAAAGAGCCACCACGACAAGGACGACTCACACCCGCGCCTGGGGTTCGCTGTGAGCGGCGAGCGGCACAACGACTCCGCCAGCACCGCGAACAAGGTCGACACCGATCCTGGTGGGCCGCGCGAGCCGCCTGAGTATCCGCGGAAGAAGAGACGGAGGCTCGAGCTGGAGCGCGAGCAGGAAGCGAATGCGGGCGAGAGTGTGCAACTGTATCATATTGCAGAATACCGCGCGACTGTGCCGTCCTCAGCCGCTACCGCTGCTGGCGTCGTCGCCGCTGCCGCTGCCCCTCTAGTCCGCAGCCAGATGCCCCTAGTTGGGTACCCAGACGATGCGATGGTCGTCGCGGCAGCAGCCGCAGGGGGGCCAGATGCATCTCATACCGGCCATTGGATGGCAGCGTCTGTATACCACGGCGCATATAAATCATAGACTTGCTTCCTTCATCTGAAGGGCCACCATCGCTACCCCTCTACGCACTCATATCATACTTCCAACCATCTTACTTGTATCCATAGACACTGCTCTCGAGGTTTTGCTTGCCTTGGAGCATATTTGATTACCTGTCTCCCTACTACCCTCGTGTACTACTATACGAAATGTCGACATTATAGATCCTGTTCCTCAAATTATCTTTCTCGCGCGTGGTTGCTTGTTCAGTATTAAGTATTAATAGGTATGTACACAAATGATGTTGAGCGGGGGGTTCTGGTCAAGTTCTGGTATCTATTATGGTCTACAAAGAATGCGACAGCGGGAATCCACGAAAGCAAAACACAAAACTAAGAAAACAACGATATATGCATAGGCCTTAATCCCTATACTTGTCTAAAAACCCTTTGTGGAACTTTTCGAGCTTGCCTACATACTCATCTACGCCCTCGCAGAGACACGTTAAGCGGTAGTGCAGCGTGCCCTCCGCCTGGCCGAAACCAGATCCGGGGACGGTGCAGATACCAGTCTCGTCGAGCAACGCTAAAGAGTAAAACGCATCGGGGGCCTTGCCGGCTGCAGCGGCCGCCTCATGCGCCTTCTTAGGCAAGCGGATTTGCGGGAAGAGGTACAATGCTCCGGGCGAGTCCACGCAGGATACGCCTTCCATCTTGTTCAGTCGCTCAGCCATGACTTTCGTGCGGTTGGCCAATGCCTCGTGGATCGCGTCTGTCTCTTTCTTCCAGAGATCATACGAGGGATCACCTGCCTTGGGTGGGCGCACTAAGCATTCGACACCCACTTGGCCGGATAAGGGAGGACATAATGTGACGCTGCGCATCTTGTAGATCAGGGAGTTGATCTCCGGGGAGATGTTGAACGTCTCGAAATAACCGCCACGACGACCACATTCGCCAGAGACACCTTTAGAGATGGAGTGGAA